AGTGTGAGAAAGTGTTTTGATTTCAGATTCATTCATCCAAAGTGAACATTTAGGCATTGATTTACTCACCCTCAAATTGTTCCAAATACTTTTTTCTTCCTATCATTTGTTGCATTGAATTTGATCAGTGTTGATTTTTTTTTTTTTTTTTTAATGGCTGATAGAACTTATTTTCCCTTCAATACAGTACCAAGTATTATAGAGGCTAATATTTTCAATATTGATACCAGTAATTTTTTTAAACACATTTATGGCAAGCTATTTTCCAATCATTATTAACATACACTAATATATGTTATTATTGTTATCATTATTATTATTATTATTATTATTTACAACAACAACAGCAAGAATACATCATGTTCTATAATTGTTAATAAATAAAAAATAAGAATAAATGAAATATTAATAATAGCAATAATAATTGATTGTATGTATGTATGTATGTATGTATGTATATGTTTTTTTTTTTTTTAAAAACCACAATAAAATATTTATTTATTTATTCATTTGCATAAGAAGATAATTATTTAAATACTGCACTGCTCTGTTTGTTTGAATCCACTGTTCAGATGACTGAATGGAGAAATAATTCCTCTCCTACGCAACTATTTGCTAACACAGTTCATTTTTTCCACCTCGTAGCTTTTTTGCATACATTTTGTATTATATTTTTGTGTAATGTTTTTATGTGAGAATTGTTTCTCCTCCAGCATCAGTGTCAGTCCACATATAAATGACTTTGACATATTCCTCCTATATTGACCACTTTAAATCCATATTGCTCGCCGTTGACTGTTTTACTAAAGCCGCCCGCTGGCGGTGAGCCCGGGTGCGAGGGCCCGTTCATCGCTGCTTGCAGCTTTAATTATTATTATTATTTACAACAACAACAGCAAGAATACATCATGTTCTATAATTGTTAATAAATAAAAAATAAGAATAAATGAAATATTAATAATAGCAATAATAATTGATTGTATGTATGTATGTATGTATGTATGTATATGTTTTTTTTTTTTTTAAAAACCACAATAAAATATTTATTTATTTATTCATTTGCATAAGAAGATAATTATTTAAATACTGCACTGCTCTGTTTGTTTGAATCCACTGTTCAGATGACTGAATGGAGAAATAATTCCTCTCCTACGCAACTATTTGCTAACACAGTTCATTTTTTCCACCTCGTAGCTTTTTTGCATACATTTTGTATTATATTTTTGTGTAATGTTTTTATGTGAGAATTGTTTCTCCTCCAGCATCAGTGTCAGTCTGAAGTTTTGATATTTCAGGATTGTATGGCTGCAGATGTTTTGGCATATATCAAACAAACCATATGGATTACTTCTCTGATGCTGTTATGCTGATTTTTGGTCCTTTAAAGATTTTTCAAATATTATCCTTATGTTTTCCGCAAAATCAATAGAAACATCGTACAGATTTGGTGAGTAAATGATGACAAGTAAGGTCTTTTTTTGGGTGAACATTGACTTTTGATAGATCCTTTAATTCCTGTTTTTTTGTACTGAGTTGTATACAAGCAGTTGACAGACTGCAGTCTATGTAGTATCTGTATGTGTAGATTGTGATGGTATCATCCAGTATCTGGTAAAGACTCACGGATCTCAGACTGGGGCTCCTGCCAGGCTCATTGATTGTTTCTGGCTAATTAGATTAGACTAATCACATTAAGTTGGTGCCGAGGCGCGTCCTGATGGCGGAATAGAAATGAGACCGTGTCATTGTTGGCACATAGCCGTCAATGTCACACCGTCCCATAGAGTTTCATTCCGTTGAGGTCTTTAGATAAACCATCTTTGTTTGGTCTGTCCACTGCATCTCATGGGAGAAGATGGCAAGAAATTAACCCTCAAGCATGATCACAGCATTCCTTTCCATTGAGGATCATAAAGACAATAAAAACGGTACAGAATTGAGATCATCTGGCATTATGTTTATAGAGCTGGTACAGATTCAGTAGCTGTCTTGTTTACTGTGGCGTCAAACATTTGAAAATTAGACTAGGATTGACTAGTCTCAGTCTATAAATCCAGATGTCGACTCATATTACTGTACATCGAGGAGGTCTGTCTTGTACAGTCATTTCCTCCATATTCATGGATTTTTCTCATGCAGCAATTGATGTCTGCTAAGCTCTGCCCCCTTAGTTACTGTTGCTCACGCAGACAAACGTTACAGAATGAAGACACTTGGGAGTTTGTTGTCCAAGTGTCTATATATATATATATATATATATATATAGATTAGACTAAATTCCATTGAGGATCATAAAGACAATAAAAACGGTACAGAATTGAGATCATCTGGCATTATGTTTATAGAGCTGGTACAGATTCAGTAGCTGTCTTGTTTACTGTGGCGTCAAACATTTGAAAATTAGACTAGGATTGACTAGTCTCAGTCTATAAATCCAGATGTCGACTCATATTACTGTACATCGAGGAGGTCTGTCTTGTACAGTCATTTCCTCCATATTCATGGATTTTTCTCATGCAGCAATTGATGTCTGCTAAGCTCTGCCCCCTTAGTTACTGTTGCTCACGCAGACAAACGTTACAGAATGAAGACACTTGGGAGTTTGTTGTCCAAGTGTCTATATATATATATATATATATATATAGATTAGACTAAATAATCTAAATAAATAAATAAATTCATTCATTCATTCATTCATTCCAGCTTATGTTTATTTTATAAACTAATTTTTTTTAAATGTATTTTATAAGTATGTGTTTGTGTGGTTTTAGTTTTAGATAAGTATAATAACCTTGTACTGTACTGCTATTTTTCTTTTTCTTTTTTTTTCCAGACTTGTAAAGTCTTGCTTATTGTAGAGTACTGTTTTTTTTTTTTTTAGGGAATTTTAGGTTGGTTTCACAATGAATGCTGTAACATAGATATAAGTAAATCCCCATGAAGTGTTAAATCATGATAGACTTCTGTTACCGGTCATCATGCACGTTATCAACAAATTTATTTACTTAAGTTCTTTAGCACTCTCTTGCTCGTATCTCTTGGTTGAACATTAAATCTAGGCAGGAAAAAGAAACGTCAGACATCATTATGGAAATCGAAAACATGGGGGCCTAAAAGAAGGGGTTCTGCTCCGGGGAGCACAGCCCATCTGAGCCTGTCAGATCCAAATGTGTGGTTCCAGCTTACATTACACACCTGCAGCGGCCCAAATCCTGTCCATGTCTCTCTTGTTTTTGGATGACCCCTCTCAGCTCCTACTGAGGGTGGAAGCACAGGGTGCCTCAGTCATACCTAAACGCAGCTGCACCATTCCCAAATAAGGTTCTGTGTTTCATTGAAAATGCTCTGGGTTCAATTTTCACTTTAGAGAAGAGAGAACAAGGCGATCTCAACATTTTGTTTGTCTTTAGATAAGCTGCTTTTCTTGTACATGTGCACACTCAGAAGAATAGGGATATACAGTACATATGTAACTTGAAATTATTAGGCACTGGGTGAAATAATGGCAATTGCTAAAATAATGTCAGCCGGTAACAATTTAGCTATTCTTTTTCCCCACAAAAATATAAAGCAGCCCAGCTGATTTCAACATTGATAATCAGAAATGTTTCTTGAGCAAATCAGCATATTATAATGATTTCTGAAGGATCATGTGACACTGAAGCCTGGAGTAATGATGCTGAAAATTCAGCTTTGCATCACAGGAATAAATTACTTTTAAATATAGTTTTTACTGTGTTTTTAGTTAAACGAGGCCTTGATGAGTGCAAGAGAATTAAATTAAGCATTAAAAAATAGCAATAAAAAAATCATATATATATATATATATGAGCAATATCACTCGAGAGTGATATTGCGTTTATACAACAGTTCGACGGAACGTGTGTAATTAAACAAGAAACAACAGAGTGCCTAATAAAACCCTCTTTTGTGCGGAACTACTTCCTTCCGTCACTGATTCAAAGCTCAAGTTGACAGTTACACATACATCACTTTTAGAATTCATATCAAGGGCATGTGCTGCTTCAATTAGGTTATTAGTGAGAAATAGTCAGGTTATAAGAGAGAAACAATGCGGCAAGACGTGCATCCAAATGAGAGAGAGAGAGACCGCAAAGCTAGACGTTTCTTCTTATATTAACTAACGAACTCTACGATTAGCTCAGTGAATAATTAACAAAAAAACATAGACCCGGCTAGAACAAGCGGAGTGATACAAAATTGTAAAAGGGCGTTCCTGTAGCGATACCAGTACAATATCTCACGGT